GTTTATCGTTCATTTTAGTTACCCTAAATTTTACGTCGTTTATCGTTCATTTTAGTTACCCTAAATTTTACGTCGTTTATCGTTCATTTTTAGTTACCCTAAATTTTACGTCGTTTATCGTTCATTTTAGTTACCCTAAATTTTATGTCGTTTCCCGTTCATTTTAGTTACCCTAAATTTTATGTCGTTTATCGTTCATTTTAGTTACCCTAAATTTTATGTCGTTTATCGTTCATTTTAGTTACCCTAAACAAGAAATAGGTTGAGTTTTGACGTTGGAGTTTTTTTTTTTTCATCCATAGATCCTGACGGGGGAAGACTGGAACGAGGTCATGTACCGGGGGATCGAATCCCAAGGGGGAATCCATGGAGGCATGGTCTATAGCCTGTATTTTATTATCCTAGTTTTGTTCGGAAATTGTATCCTTTACTGTCTGCAGAACAGAATAGATGAAATTATTTTGTTCCCCACTAATGTGCGCATGCGTCGCCAGGCTGCATGTTATAGTGAATGTTTTACCCTTAAAATTTGTGATTTGTCGAATTCTTGATCTCCCTGCCCTTTGTGTGTCGTAGTAGTATCGGCGAATGTGGTGTATTTACACGTCATTTACACGTGCGTATACGTGTTTAGCTCCGTGGTTTTAATGGCTAATTTTAATAATATAAAAGTCAAAGAAATACCTAAACCTAATATTGGTTTCTAAGTTACGTTTCTCTGACTGAAGACAACAGACACTCTACTCAATGTATTTCTTGCCATTGCTGTCGACAATCTGGCTAATGCACAAGAACTCACAGCCGCAGAGGAAGAGGAAGCGGAAGAGGACAAGGAGGTCTGTTTCCTGGAAAACTATAAAGTTTTAAGATACTCATAGATGTATTTTCATTCATTGAAAAAAAAAATCGAAATTATTGAAATAGATTTGTTGAGTAATTGGTGTAAGTTGCTTGCTAAACTGAAATATCAATAGATGAATTAGACAGTGCTGTAATACTGCAATAAAGTCAATTTACAGTTCGTTTGTTTTTTTAATCATTGACTTAATTTCAGCGAATAAAAGAGGAACTAGAAAAAGAAATGGCGGACTTCCATACCAATAACTCCGGATTAGGCCCTCCTCAAGTGAATATCTACCCTCCTTCACCGCAAAACAACTCGGATACTAAATCACGAAAATTTAACTAGTATGTTAACTTTCTCATTCTTTTTTAGTGACAATTGTATGTTTAACAACTTACCACAATAAGAAACCACACACGGTCTCTTCGTTTTATTAGTTTCCTTTTTATTTTTGCAACAATTTTTTCCACTGGTTTGCTTAAGCCATCGTCAATGAAAGAACGGAAGTTGCCAGCTTAGCAGAGCAAACATCTTCTGGGCAGCAAAAGATTGTTTGCTATAACGCTAAAATCCGGGGTTCGATTTCCCGTGGTGGACACAGCAGAGAGCCAAATGTGGCTTCGCTCTAAAACAAAGAAGCTACTAACATGAATAAACCGTGTGTATGTTATATTCATCATTTATCAACCCACGCTGTGCATCTCAGTTCTTTTTTTTTTACATTTAATGGGTATCGTAAGTAGTAATTTTTGACATTGTGCTGTATTCTTTACTGTTTAAAACACCTGTCATTGTTTCTAATGATTCATGACTACTTTAATATTTAAGTAACGCGGTCATGTAAAATGTTATCTGTTTGGCTTCGTGGTGGAGTGAATAAACCCAATCCTCCAATCTTTATTTGTTTATCATGTTTGTAAGCAAATCAGGCCTCGTCGTTTCTTATTTATTCCTTTAATGACGTGTATAGCTTCCTTACTTGACGTACAATCTTCTATGTTGTCATTGTTCATATTGTGTGATCCTTGGCCAGTACTGTAATCCGTGTGTTGTGATATATTTGGTGTAATCCGTGTGTTGCGATATATTTGGTGTAATCCGTGTGTTGTGATATATTTGGTGTAATCCGTGTGTTGTGATATATTTGGTGTAATCCGTGTGTTGCGATATATTTGGCGTAATCCGTGCGTTGTGATATATTTGGCGTAATCCGTGAGTTGTGATATATTTGGTGTAATTCGTGTGTTGTGATATATTTGGTGTAATCCGTGTGTTGTGATATATTTGGTGTAATCCGTGTGTTGTGATATATTTGGTGTAATCCGTTTGTTGTGATATATTTGGTATAATTCGTATGTTGTGATATATTTGGCGTAATCCGTGTGTTGTGATATATTTGTTGTAATTCGTATGTTGTGATATGTTTGGTGTAATCTGTGTGTTGTGATATATTTGGTGTAATCCGTTTGTTGCGATTTATAGTGTTAGTGAACAAGGAAACTCATTGAACTGGAAGGAAGCTGAAGAGAAACAGGTGGAAATGGAGAAGAAGTCGTTGAGTGAACACGAAGAAATGAATGAGAACATCCGTATCTCCGAAGATGGTAATATCCTTTACAGTGAACCAAAAATTCACTTTTATTAAATCAAGGATATTCCTACTTCTTGACAGTATTAACATCCATCTGTCCGAAGATGGTAATATCCTTTATAGTGAACCAAAAATTCACTTTTATTAATCTAAGATATTCCTACTTTTTGACAGTATTTAACTCTTAGTAAATT